AATCAATAATCATTACCATAATCATCAATCAACATAATATTCAATAACAATTAGCGGCCTAGCTTCGAGTGTTAACACCCTAACTTACCGTCATTCATCACATAACATTTTATTTGTTAAAAATATTACTTTTAATGTGAAAAATCATTTTTATAATGATCAAAATCAATTGGTATCAAAAATAGGATTTTAGGGCTCAAATTTTCAAACAAATTTTCACACAAATTTTCGGATCAGAAATTCGGGGGATCGATCCAGCCCTCTGGATCGATCCATACTATGAAAAATCACTCCCAGGGGATCGATCCAAGCCCCTGGATCGATCCAATCAGTGTGTTTCAGCCACTGTTCATCTTCTTCTTCGTTCGGGTCCAATTTCGGAAATATCGTTTTTAGTTATCGAACTTCAACGAAACTATATAGAGATGTTCTCCAAGGTTCATAGATCATTTTGGCATCATTAATTCATAGTTTTAACATCAATTTCATGGTTTATGATTCTTGGTTCTTCAAGCACGTCAAACACCAAACTCAACCAAACGACCGTTTTTGAATATTTTCCGGCGAAACTTCCGGCGACGATAGCTCTCAACTCTGGCGACCTCACACCAATACGACAGCACCACCACGTTCTCCTCACTCCGAGCAACAGAATAGAATGAAACTTTGTAAGAAATGGTGAAGAATGGAGGGAGTTGTGGTAGTCTTTTATAGGAGAAGGAAGAGGAAGAAGACACGGTGATGACTCTATTCTCCTGTTTTGGCGTCTCAGTGGACCGGACGGCCTATCTCTATAATTCCAAACGCAAGTCCCTGATTGAGACTAATTTGGTCCCAGTCGGGGAACACTTTTTGGTCCAACTTTCTCCGAATTGAAATCCGTTTGCACCGTTGTGATCGTACATTTAAACTCTATCCAACGATATAATTTTTATATTTATTTTTAATACTTTTTCCGACATCATATTTTTGGGTGGTTGACTTTGACAGAGTCAAAATTGATTTAATTGACCTTTACTCAAAAAGGTTCTTACATTTCATTCATATTATTTATTCTCATGATTTATTTCAATAAATCATTTCAAAGTTCATATCATAAACAAATTTCTTAATTTATCCTTGATTTGGGTCTGTACTCAGGTTCCCAAGTAAGGTCACATAATAAGTCAACATATTGGATTTATCTTTATGAGACTTATCAACATATTGGATTTATCTTTATGAGACTTATCAAGAAGAGGAACACCCAAAGTGTCATAAGTGCGGAAAGCTTGGTCACCGAAAATTTGAGTGCCCGAAGCTCAAGAAGATGAGCAAACAAGATGAATTCGCATACTTTTCGTGGAAGTATGATGAACCTTCCAAAGACGATTGCCTCATAGATCTTGAAGAACAAGATGGGTGGTCGGGTACGTGACGCACTTGATAGGTGTGCTTGAAGACTATAAATTTGTAGTGGATGCTCCATGCACTTAGCCAAAGAGATTGCATCAAAGGGGAGTAAATGTTTTTAATTAAATGTTATCTTTGAGATTTATATGAATTTATTTGGGGAATATACAAAGGATGTTTTGCATATAGTAAGGGGGAATTTGTTGCTATGTGTTAATCTTTTTGTATGCTTTATTTTAAGGGGAGATAGCATACTTTAAAGGGGGAAGTATTTTATTTCCTAGAAATGCATGATTTTAGGGGGAATGTGATTTTTCTTATTTGTTTAGAAATTTTTTTTCTCTCCCCGGAATGCATGAGTTCTTTTGTTGCATTGTTTTTGATAATGCCAAAAGGGGGAAGAGTATAGGAGTATATGCTTTAATTTGTTATTTGTTGGTAGCATATCCTCCATGTGTTTGTCATTATCAAAAAAGGGGAAATTGTTGGAATGCATGAGTTCAACCCTTTCTGTGTTGTTTAGTGTTAACTCACAGGTTTTGATAATTGACAAACACAATTTATTCAAGTCAAGATTAAAGTGCTACAACGACAAACACGAAGACTTGAAGTGCCATTCCTTGAAGTATTCAAGAAGGTGCACAGGATTTTGTTGAAGTTCGAGACGCGTCCGGAGCGCCTAACGGAGGACTCGGAGGAGTAGAAGATTTCCGAAGACTTTTTATTTATTTGAGTCTTAGGAATTATTGTAAGGATGACAAAAATATCTTCTCTCCAAAATTACTTTTATGAGAGTTAAAATAAAAACTATATTTATTTTTGGAGTCAGTTGAAAAATCCTTTTAACTGTTCAAAATAAATTTATTGAGTCAGTTACAAAAAGTGTGTCAAACATTTATCAAAATATTTATTTTGATATTAGAAAATATTTTTGGAAAGCAAAAATATTTTATTCAAATATTTTCGTGTTCATCGTTTGACACACAAAATAATTTTGGGACTCACTTTTACTCCCTTATTCAAATTCATTGAATAGAGAGGAGGAGCGCTCCATGATTCCCGTTGTCTCAAACAACGAGTATCAAGCCAATAGGCTTCCA